TCAGGCTCCCTGCTCGGCCGGGAGCCTGCTTCTCCGTCTCCCACTCCCACACTGTTCCCTCTCTAGCTGTCTCTCTCTCTGTCAAATAAATAAAATAAAATCTTAAAAAAAAAAAAAAAATTACACACGGCCCTAGAATGTTGAAAAGCAAAACACAATACCAAAAGAGAAGAGCGCTTACTAATCACCACTCAAGCGGTGGGGCTGAAGCCGCCTGCACGACTCGTGGTACGGAAATAAGTAACCTTGGTTACTGTTTCCAGGGCCACTGGACTCGGCCAAGAAGAGCCGAGGTGAAGCTGAATGCAACATGGAGCCATTCGAATTAACTTGTGTACATAAAGGACACGCAGTATTATTCCACACTCCCGAAATCCTTATTGGTGGCATGTGAGTGAACAGATGCTACAAGGGGGAACTATTTCTCGTAGCCAAGGCTTCTTGGTGACGTCTGCTGTGTCCTCCCGCACCTCCCATGGACTGACTAAACCCCTCGTGCTTGGTAAGGCCAGCGGCAATTAGCTTACATCCTGGAATCCAGGAATGGAACCATTCTAGTTAGGTGAGCATACTTTTGAAAATGTCATTGACACAGGCCACAGCGACACAGTAATAGTCCATATGGCATTCCCGAAAACTCTCCGCACCGTAAATTCTGCCGAACTGGGAGACACTCTTACTGCAGGCAAAGGTCGATTCTGTTATCACGGTTCCTTATGGAATGTACAAGGTAGATTAGAAGCCTGCTTGAATCCTGGGGCCCTGAGGAGACGAGGTGCTGCTCAGGCTGACGTGGAGCACGGAGGCCTCAGGGAAGCCTGAGAAACCGGCCCACTTGGGTGGTTACTAACACTCCGTGAGCCCCACGGAGGACAACAACCCTGAGGGTAATAATTCAGACAGCTGTGTCAGCTGGAGATGAATCTGGAGCAAAAGAGAAAAGCAGATTCATCTCCTCACTTCTCTGCACTCTGGGGCACAGCAAGGTAAAGCAGAAGCCTCAACAAGAGCTGTTCAACGAAAACATTCTATTCCTTTCCTGGAGAAGATGGAAGCTAATGGGTGTAAGATGGAACACAACAGAATCCCTTCAAGTTTTGTCCTGAGAAGGGAAAACAATCTAATTAGTGATGTAAAGTAGCTATTTTATAGACAAAACTAATTTGTTCAGTTTATAAATAAAAACTAACTCAAGGTCAGACAGCCTGAGTCCTACAATGTGAAACACAAGATTCAGAGTCTCTTCATAAAGCACATAACTTAGAATTCAGAGAAATGTATGTCCTAGTTTGGCCTATTCTTCCCAGGACTTGACGATCCTTAACCATTTGGCTTTTTTTTCCCCCCTACTGATTTTATGCATTCAGTTTAAGTGGCAAAGAAAGTTCCCTATACCAGACAGCAAGCATGAGCCTTCTAGAATGCCATCTATTTTAGAACAATTTTCCTCCACTGCATCTAAGTCTCTCCCGCTACCGTAAATAGCCATCTCACTGTTTACCTCAGTAGGCCAGGAACTCTGGCTTCTAGCCCGAACTAATTTTCAGGTCTCTCACATAGATACTTCCAAGTCGGCAGCACCGGTCCCTGCACCACCATTTCTGGAAGTTTGGACACAGGCCACTGCAAAGAGGTTTCATTCAGCTGCCTTTCCAAATCTTGTCTGAACAAAAGGACCACGTTCACAGTCTTTGAGGTAAACCAAAGTTTTCTGTGGAGGCTCCTAAGAGGAAGGCTATTCATCCTGACACACAAGGATTTGGGTCTTTGTCAAAATGAACATTCAGTCCATTGCAAAGTGCCCAAGCATATTTGGAGGAAAAAGTCTTCTTGAAAGTTGACAGTGTTAGAAATGAACAAAAGGAGAATTGGTTCAGTTGTGACAGTAAAGTTGGTCAATCTACCCTCACCTACCTGCCCTTGTTTTGTCCCACGGAGACGAGCAGAAGTTTTTCTATAAAAAGAACATCAGTGGACTCTGAGAAACAAACTGAGGGTTCTAGAGGGGAGGGGGGTGGGAGGATGGGTTAGCCTGGTGGTGGGTATTGAGGAGGGCACGTTCTGCATGGAGCACTGGGTGTTATGCACAAACAATGAATCATGGAACACTTCATCTAAAACTAATGATGTAATGTATGGGGATTAACATAATAAAAAAAATCAGTTGAATCACCATTTCCCCTTTTTATTCATGTAGGTATTGACAAACTAAGTGTGGGTAAGTGCATTCTACTTCACAGGCCGACAGTGTTCTAGATCGGAGGAAGCCCTGGCTCCAAACATGCTTGCCAGCTGCGGTCCTGGAACTGCTTTTTCTTCAACCATCAGTTCTTCACAGTATCAGTCCTGCAGCAGCAAGTCATTCCTTAGAGAAAACTGTGGTCCACATTTTCAAACATCGTACCAGAGTGAGAGATAAGTTAGCAAACTTCTGGTACCACGTGCAGTCTGGGCAGGGCTATTTTACCTCAAGCCCCCAAGGCCGGCAGTGGGACCACAGGGGACAAAGGTCGTCTGTAGGAAGGCCTGGGATCCCAGCAGCTCCTCCTCCCTGCTGTGGCTGGGGGGGAGTCTTCATACAGCTTCTGGAGGCGAACCTTCTGTTTCTTGCTCCCTGTCACCTCACGGGGTGTGAGGGGAAAAACCCCCAACCACCCAGTAGGTACTTTGTCGAGGAGCTCTTCAGAGCAGATCAGGCAGGATGAGGCCGGGAGGTTTAGGTTCAACACAGTTGATCCAGAAGTTGGCACAGCTGGCGTGATACTGGTGTCCCCCGTAGGCCAGCTTGAAACCGTCTGTCTCTGAGCTGAACGCCTGCCGGAAGGAGAGGGACAAGTGGGGCAGGTCAGGCTGCTTCTGCAGCCAAGCGCCGCTCGCTCGGCGGCCAGCACGCACAGCGCTCCGGGCCGCACGCCGAGCAGCTCAGACAGCCTAAGAAGCTGAGCAGGGAGCTACAGCAATTCAAGTGAGGAAGTTCTTCGCTGCTAATTAAGGGTCTAAAAAAATCTTTACCATTAAACCCAGTTTCAGCCAAAGGAGGCCAAATCTTTCACAGAAAAGGCAGACAGAGGTTGAACCGGGGGAGACCATGGGGGGTGGGGGTGTTCATTATATGGGGAACTGACACAGCCAAGGGCCGAGGCTGATTTTTACCCCTCACTGTGCCGAAGGAGGCCTGCCCCGAGGCTGGCCGTTAACTATGCGTGCGATCCCCCACCGTCCTCCCATGGGAAAGACAGGATTGAAAGTGAAAGCTCCCGGGGACTAATGCCACTGGGGCCTGATAACTGAATCAACATAATTAAAAAGTCCAACCAGGTACAGGGTTTGTAAAAAGAGATACTAAAGCACGTAAGAATTACTCCCAGATGACTAATGCTTACAGGGAAGTCCCACTCAGCCAGTCCTA